AGGAAACAAAACGGTCATTTATCAGACATGAACAGAGAGTTCTGATAAACAGCATCACAGCAAAACACAGTACATCCATGTAGAGACAGAGCATTTCTTCACAAACTTTCCTGGCAACTCACCCTCGTGTCATACACCTCGTGTGTTCTGGCAAATGGGTTTGGAGCCCACACATTCAAGTTTCGTTCCACAGAAAGCCAGGGGAGGAAGGAAGGAAGTGGCTAATGAGGTCTGTGAGCATGTGTCTTGTCCTAATAAGACCCCACGATGGAGTGTGCCTTCAGCTCAGAAGACTTCACAAGTCTACTGATGTGAAGGGAGCCAAATTATAACGAATCTGTGTGCTGAGGAGCCTAAAATACCCTAATCTCCAACATGTTTCCTTATTTCATCAATGAATGCACCCACTAGACAATTTTACTTTGAAATGCTTTGCAGAGCACAAACTTCAATGTACGCTTTCAAATCACACCTCAACAGGGCTGCCTTTATAGGGAAAGATTTCAAAACACATTGCATAGAAATTTTCAAGCATCACTAACTCGAAACTTCACCAGAACAAAGCTGACTATTCTTTTGTTTTAATATCTCCAAGTATTACCATACAGCATAATCAGGCATTTCATTTTCTTGTCACATTGCAAACAAAGCAATTCTTTCCAGGACGTTTAAAGAGGAAAACATCATTGCCTGGATCTGAGCTATTTGCTGTTGAAATCCATTATCCATGCACTGACAGAGCCAGAGCTCTTTCTCTAAGGAAAATACAGATCAGCTCTTGCACTGGTTTGGGGGCTCTCACACTATTCCACTGCCAGTGTGGACGTTTTATAAAAAGAAGGATCCTTCCAGGGTATCTGTGTGGTGGAGACCAAACAAGGGGCAGAAGCAGCTGTAGCTTAACATCTTAAGTAAAAAGGAAGTGTTGGTAAATAATGACAGCTTCTCTGGGCAACCTGTGGCACGGCCTCACCACCCTCACAGCAAAGTTTCTTCCCAATATCTAATCTAAACCTACTCTCTTTCAGTTTGAAGCCATTCCCCCTTCCCCTGTCACTACTCTTGTAAATACAAACTCTTACTGGAACAGGTAAATTCTGAATTTTTAAAATAATTCACTACTGAAAACTTACAGACTGGACGTCCAATACTGTTCTTAACGTTGGAGTTGACAAAAGAGTAAGTAGGTGATGAGAAGGGAAGGGTGCCAGCTGGATTTGTAGTCATGGTACTCTGGGAAGTGCCCGAAAATGCAGCAGAGCCAGGTGGTGAACACTTCTTTTTGTTTGGCTGATAAACCCAACCTGTCAGAGACAAAAAAAAGATGCAGACATACAATATTTTGGATGGTTTCATTATTTATCTAAAGCTATGTTATCTGTAATTCTGAAGGATCTGATAAGACAAGTCCAAAACCCACTCCTTTAGGCAATGGCAATGCTCCACTTGTTTTGGTGAGCTGGAAATGGGGAATTTTACGAGAGATGGAAATGAAACAGAAATATTTGGGTATTGTTTAGAAGTTACCAAGTAGTAGCTGCTTGTGAGAAGAAGAAATACCAAATACTGGGGAGTGATGTGGCCCAGCTGAGAAGTAGATGAAGTAGAACATGACACTTACTGTACCATAGACTTTTTAGAGGAAAACCATGGCTATGTAAAATGTGGTCTTTCCTCATTGTTTCCTTAACCCCTTAAGTCTCATATATATCTGGAGGTTACAAGACCTAACATAAAATACGACCCACTGGGAATCCTGGATAGATTTTGGAAGAGCACGTTTGCCTTTGCCTGACAGCATGAGCCAAACACTAACAGACATAAGAATATATTATGAATTTACACTGAGCTGCTTGGTTTCTTATACAGGTTAACTCTTAATGCAACTTTAAAGAAACACCTTTTTTTCCTTTTTTGAAAGATGCAAGGAAAGAGGGAGAGTGATGCTCTTTTCCTTGTTTATGACAGATTATCAGGATCATGAACAAGCAGCATTATGTCAACTGAGAGAGACAGTATCACAACACCTGGTATCTCAACAGCTTTTTAAAAGTGCTTAAAGTACTTATGCTCTGTTATTTTCTGGATAAATTAATTTGTTAAGGGTACGAATTTTAACACTTGACAAAGGGGTGAGAAACATTTTTCACACCATGATGTGGGAACCTCAAGTCTACATGTTGAAGAGTCCCACAGAACACAATGCTGTTTGTGCTTCCTGTGACATTTCCCTTTCCTGCTTTTAAGGAATAGATGCATGTGTCACCACAGGCCACCTGGGCAGCTGTTTCTGGAGCAAGGAAACAGATGCAGTAGGCCACTTTCTCAACAAACACTCTCTGGCCATTAGATTACTAAAGCATTCAGAAGAGCTGCTGTAGCTGCAGTGTTCTAAGCACCAGCACTTTGGATGCCTAAAAAAATTCATAGTTTCAAGCACACAGAAGGATTGTGTGCTTGAAATATCTGTATTTTCTTTTCTATCTCTATTAATTGCTATAATGCAAAGATCAATTTTCCACGAAGCCCTGCACTTCTAAAGCATTCGGGTAAATAACTAAGATGTTTACCAGGAAATTCCTCCCTGTGCCTCAGTTTTATTTTGTTTGCTTCCTCATAATACGGCTGCTTCTGCTCTTCAGTGAGTTTGCTCCACTCCAGGCCGAGCTGAACGCTGATCTCTGCATTGTTGGCACCTGGGTTGGCTTTGGCCACAGCAGCCCTGTGGATCCGGGCCCACACCATGAATGCGTTCATGGGACGCTTCACACGGCCACTTTTGGTCTTGCTGAATGGAGTGTCTGGCATCCCTGTGCAACAAGGCAAGGAAAGATCATCACCTTCCAGGGAATACAGCAGGTCACACTCAGTATTGCACCCAGAGGGTATTTGGCAACAGCATCACCTGAGCTTTGGAACAGAAGAAACTCAGGGCACATTGGGAGAGCAGTTCCTGTAAAATCCTCCACTGCCCTTCACTGACTCACTGCACAAGGAATCAGTTACCTGGCTTCTGTTACATACTATTTTTTGTTATATAAAAAAAAAAAAAAGAGAAAGAAACTGGGACTGCTAACACTCTAGTTTGAATTTCAGCTGGCTTGTTTTCTCATGAATTTATAAACTAACCATTATACAGCACAGACCACACCACTGCAAATTTATTATCATCACCAGAACCTTGTAACCAAAGCCCTAAAAATGCAGGGACTAGGAGTAAGGATGGTGAGGTTGCTTAGTCCCACACCTGTGCAGTCCCTGCCTTTTCAACTGTGGGTTTTGGGTTTCTGCTTGGGTTTTGTTGGGTTTTTTGACACACTTTTTTTTTTTTTCTTTTTTTGGATTGGACACTCATTTTGTTGGAGGAACCTGTGTTCCCAAATGATTGTTACATGATACCTGGCTTTGGCTCTTTGTAAACACAGGCTGTGTTTAAATTGAGCTGGCAACATGATGAATCCACAGGCCCCTTAAAACTGATCCCTGAGGAAGCAATTTCCTCCTGGAAAAGGTTTAGAAATTAACTCTTTCCTTTATCATCTCAGGTTAACTCTAACCTTTATCATCGATAAAGGGAAAAAGTCTTTAAGACCTTACTTAGGTAATTAATTTTGAAGTTTTGGTTCTTAAAAAAGCTTCTAATATAGATGTTTCAAAATGCTCTTCATTTAACATGTCCAGATTTTTTCAGAGATGTATAAGAGTACTTTATAGATTTAAAAATCAAGCAGATTCCCATCTTCAAACTGCAATCACAACTCAAATGTAACTCTAAGCACTGTCCTAAGGGGTTTCACGCAGACAGGGAGCAATGTGACGAAACTGCCTTGATTTTAACAAACCACTGCAGAACTCTGTGCTCCCGTGCTTTCGTGTCTTAAACTGTGCAAGAGTTGTGCTAAACCCAGCCTATGCAAAGGGATGGTTTTCCAACATGACCTTTCCACTTGTGTTCTCCTGCCTGATAACCTGTGCCACCCTGCAAGCTCTCTGAGCATAATACCTGAATCCGAGGGCAGGACTGTGAGGGGAACGTTTTTTGTTTCAATCTTTGGCCGCTGCAGTAGAGGCTGCAATTGAACTGGCATTTGTTTTACCGGCACTGGAGTCACATGCACCAGCTGCGAGGGCAGAGGGCCTTGGAGCTGGACATGCGACCTGGAAGGCAAGGACTGAAACAAGACCGGGATATTCTGATCTTGGGGAGGATTCCCAAGCTCGCACAGGGATCCAGCCGGGGCATCGCTCTTCTCCACCTTCACTGGGCGAGCCTCATAGGCCAGGTTGGATCGCTCCGTTTGGACGGCAGCTCTTCTCCAGGGCTTATGCCCAGTTTGCTCCAGGATCTTCTCCTCGTTCTGGCGGTCACCGCTGCCCCTTTCCTGGTCCCTTTCTCTCCTGACGGCATTCCGGGCCTCTTTCTCAACCGCCGCCGGAGCCGAGATGCACCTGCTCTTCTTGGTTGCTCCTTCGCTGTGCGCGGGCCGGCCCGGGTGCTCCTGCACCTGGACGCGCAGCCCTCCGAGGGGGCCCATGACATCCCTGTGCCTGGGGGGCGAGGCGGGGCTGGCCCGGGCGCGGAAGCGGCAGTGCCGGACCCTGCGCTCCATCGCTCCGCTGCCGCTCCTCGGCCGCCGCCACCGTTGCGCCAACGCTCCCCGCGGCCCCGCGCCGCCGGCGCGCACCGACCCCGCATCCCGCACCAACCGCGGGGCGCGCACCGAGCCCCAGCCCCGCCGGCTCGGTCGCGCTGTCCCCCGGTCCCGCGCCCACCGCTGGGGCCGCCCTGCCCGCCCATGCCGTGCTCGTTGCTCGGCGCTCTCGGAGCGGGGCCCGTGCGCCGGCTCCGCGCCCCGCAGCCGCCATGGACACCGTTGGCGGAGCCGCCCCGCGCTCCGCCCGCCGGCTCCGCCCGCTCTCCGCCGGCACCACCGAGCGCTGCTCCGGGCCGCCCAGAAGGGCTCGGAGCCGCTCTTTCCGCTTCCGCGCCGGTCATGCTGCGCTGCTGCCGGGCGGGCGCGGCCATCGCTGCCCGCTGCGCTCCGGCATTCCCGCGCGGCCTCGCCATGGCCAAGAGCAAGTTCGAGTACGTGCGGGACTTCGAGGCGGACGACACGGTGCTGCCCAACTGCTGGATCGTGGTGCGGCTGGACGGCCGCAACTTCCACAGGTGCGGCAGGGCCGGGGCGGGCGCTGCGGGGACCCCGCGGGTGCGGGCTGGCAGCGCTGTGCCCAGAGCAGGGTCCAGCCTGCTGCCCGGGTCGTGCTGGGCTGTTCCTGTCCGGCTTGTGCGGGGTTAGAAATCCTCGTGTCCCACATCGGCCTCTCCAGGGCACGGAATTCCACCGGGATTCTGTTTTCACCGGCTTCAGAACCGGGTGGTCCCAGTAGGGAGTGATTCCGGTGCCTTGGCTGTGCTGGGGAGGGACAGCAGCTGCTGTACAGGGATGTGTATTGGTGTTTGGAGTCAGTGTCTGTGTGGCATTCGCCTTCCCTCGGGATAAATGGGGCACAGTTCCCTCGGCTGGTAGATAACACAGGTTCTTGCTCGGATGTTATATCTGGTTTTGGTAAAGCTCTTGAGTTTTGACAAGTTTATTGATAATGTTGCCCTTATTGGACTGAATACTAAAGAGACCCTGTGAGAAAGGGAGTTTGCAGGAAGCAGTATTTGTTAGCCATTTCCAATTAAAGTACATAAGCCAGCTCCTTTGAAAGACTGGTTAAGGTCAGATACTGGTGGGAAAGAGAATGGATTATCCAGACCAGATAATGAGGATTTTTAAATTCCTGCTTTTGATACCTGGAGGGAATTATTTTGTCAGTATTGACAGGATACTGGAAATCAATATTCGTATAAAGCAAATATGAGGAAAATAAATGGATTAGCATTTTTAGTATATTTTTAAGGGATTCTTATGCAACCATTTTTGCTTTGAAGGTTTTCTGAGCAGCATGAATTCAAAAAGCCAAATGATGACCGTGCTCTGAATCTGATGACCAAGTGTGCCCAGACAGTGATGCAAGAACTGGAGGATATTGTTATTGCTTATGGACAGAGTGATGAATATAGTTTTGTTTTCAAAAAGAAGAGCAGGTGGTTTAAAAGAAGAGCAAGGTAACAGCTGCTTTGATAATGAAGTGAACTTTTTTTTAACATCTCTTTATAATATTTCTTCAGATTTGCCTTTAGCTACACACAGAGGTTAGGAGGAAGGTCGGTGCTTACACTGCAGTTAGTTCAAGTTTTTCATGTGGATTATTTACATGTGATGTTTCAGGAAAATATGTTCACTAATACAGAGCTTGTAAAAGAAGTTATATAAACAATTTATTGTATAAACAATCAAAACATTATAAACAGACATTCTTTTAAGAAAATGTTACAATTCTCGGTACCTCCGCTGTTCAAAACTCTCTGTGCCATTCCTCATCTGTTTGGCCATTATTTAAGAAGTGCTGCTCTCCACTAGAGTTATTACCACTGATACCTCGGATAATCACAGATATATAATTACACTCATGTATTTCTTTCTTTTTTTCTCTTGTTCTGTGTTTGCAAGTAAGTTCATGACTCATGTGGTCTCCCAGTTTTCCTCAAGTTACGTGTTCTATTGGAAGGATTACTTTAAGGATCAGCAGCTACTGTACCCACCAGGATTTGATGGACGAATTGTGTTGTATCCCAGCAATCAGAATTTGAAGGACTACCTCAGCTGGAGGCAAGCAGACTGTAAGTGTTCCTAGAAAAGAGAGATTTGTGCAGTTGAGTTCACTTCCTCTGAACAGAAATATCCTTTTATATACATTTGTCAGTTAAAGAACAGCAGGTAGGGTGGTAAGTAGGTAGGCAGTTTTCAATACTATTGCACTTGTTCTGGGCTTTGTATGGGTCCTGGCTGAAATTCAGAGTGTTCAGGCTACAACTAAATTTATTGCATCCTGAGAATGAGTTCAGCACAAGAAATATTAGAACTTCTAATAGAAGTAATAAATTAATTTTGGTGTTCAGAGTTGGCTTAGCTGAGGTAATCTTCTTTAATGAAGAGTTGTGAATATTCAGATACACAGCAGGTAGTAAAAGTGCTGACTATTCGATGTTAGAGCAGACTGCTGGATTTGTCTCTAGACCTTTGTCAGTACCTACTCCCTATTGTCAAATGAAAATAATTTATATTATACATAAACACCCTTCATCCTCTGCTGTGCCCTTTTCACTTATGAAATCTGTCTTCTAGTCATGATATGCTGTACCTTAAAACTATATTATAAACATTGTATCTTCCTTAGAAACTGATTATATTAATTCCCCATTACTCTTGCCTATTTCTTGGATACAGCTCTGGAAATAAAGCTATTTTTCCCTAAGTAGTCACTCAGATTTAGTAAATAATCTTTGTCACACTCATTTCTGTGTTTTCTCTAGGCCATATTAATAACCTTTATAATACAGTGTTCTGGATGCTTGTACAGCGAAGTGGTTTGACACCAGTGCAAGCACAGGAGAGGCTCCGGGTAAGTCTGCTTAAGTCATGTTTTTTTTACTGCTAAAAATTAAATCATAGGATTTGTAAAATGTCTTGCCTGCCCAGGATCCCTGGCTTGTATGTTCTTATTGTAATAATTTTGTGGATGTAGTCAACAACTTCTTCAATTGTGTAGATATTTACACCACTAGCAAATAATGTCATTTTGGTCAAGTATTAGCAGAGTTTGAAGTTCTTAGTTAGCAATTTTAGAAATCTTAGAAATGTCATAAAATGTTCAGTATCCAAAGACATGAGGAACAGTGGCAGAATTCAAGTCCTGTCGATTGTCAGTCCCTTCTGTTGTGTTTGAATCCTTGTGCAGACCTTAGCAGATTATTCCTGTTTTCTTCTGGAATCTGTTGACTGTCTTCCATTTGTCTTCCAAATATAATAAAAACCCTCTCAGTTTTAATTCATTTTTACTCATTTGGCAGTTGGAATTAATTCCTATGTTGAGAGAAGCAATTAAACTTTGTGACTTAAAGATGAAAAACCTTTACAAATGTCTCTCTTGCTTCCAGTATTCGCCCCTCCTCTACTCTAGAGAAACAATTTTTTTTCTCTGAGAGTAATTTTCTTTTCCTTTCCTCTCAGGGAACTTTGGCTGGAGATAAGAATGAAATCTTATTTTCTGAATTCAACATCAACTACAACAATGAACCTTTGATGTATAGAAAAGGAACTGTCCTAATATGGCAAAAGGTAAAAAACTGTATTGCCACTTGCTTTGGGCTCTTATTTTAAATAGTTACACTGTGGCAGACAGACTGCGTATATCCAGTGTATGTCTAGGAATAAATATATTTTTAAATTAACTATATTTGCCATATAATTATGTGTAATATGACTCATTGTTTTGGAGATGTTTTTGAGAGCTGTTTTTATGAGCATAATGTAAAAACCAGTCTGTGAAGTCTGGCTTAGATACAAATTATGACCATTGAGATGAAACATGTATCAGCAGATGACAACATGTGTATCACTGGAACCAAGCCCTTCCCAGGATTAGGTCCCAAGTATATCCATGGCAAAGGAATTACAAACTTCTGTTCAATAAGGTAGCTGAGCTCATAGTTGGCTGAGTCCTTTTCTGCTTTAAGGTAACTTGGAAATATTCATTATTCTACAATTGCATCATTGATTTAGTGGGAGAAGTTCCTGCCCTGTGTTTTTTTATTAAATTATTTTTTATTATCATTTTTGAATCCACTCTGGAGCCTTTTATGTCTGCTAATGTGTCAACTATATTTTCAGGTTAATGAAGTCATCACTAAGAAAATAAAACTGCCAAAGGAAGAAGAAGAAAAAGAAGTGGAAGTGACCCGGACTAAGACTAAAGTTGTTCCCCTGCACTGTGACATCATTGGGGACCAGTTTTGGGAGGAATATCCTGGGATTCTGGCTGAGGATAGTTGATATCTCTGATGACCATAACTAGTAGTTTACATTTTGCTCTGCTTGGGTTGTTGGCAAGCGAGGAATACAAATGGTGGCTGGCAGAGTTTGACCTGTAACCCTGTTCAGCAGCTACATTGGGGTTAGCACTGTTGCTGCCTAAAAAGAAAACACTGGTGCTGTCTGACATACAGGATATGCCCACGTGGAAAGCTAAAATCATATATTTTGAATGTTAAGAGCTCATCATGAATTAGAGACTGTTCCTGCCTTGTACATATGTATTTGTAAAAAAAGTATGTAGAAATTTCCTGTATTTCTATAACATTTAAACAATGAGGTATTTTTTTCAACTGCTGGACTATAAAAAAGCCCACATATGTGAACAGAAAACTAATACATTGATTTTTTTTTTTTTCAACTGAGATGGACCAGAATACTTCAATTGGGATTTAGTATTAAATTTCAAGGCTGGTGTGTTTAGTCAGATGAGTGACTAACCATTCAACTGCCTGATGTCTGATTCTTACTGAAATGCAATGGAGTAGCCCAGCAGTTTTGTATGGTAGATTTTAAAAGTATTTGTCATATATGCAGGATTTTTATACTTTAAAAAAATATAAATAATAGTACCTTCCCTGCTGTGTTTCATTATGTGGCCTTTCTCATTCCTGGGACTTGTACTAGTAAGTGGTGACACTTCCAAACAGTGAAGTTAATAATAAATACACTGTACAGGTTGGAATTCTGTTAGGGCATGGGTAGACATCTTTCCTCATATTCCTTGGCCTGGGAATTCACCTGTCTCCTATTGTGCACAGCACAGCATATTTTAAAAAAAATAAAGTACAACATAGCAGAACATTCCAGGTGCCTGCAAAGAGGGAGCCAACAACAATTTGTGCTGCTGTTTTCTGATCTCCCTGGGAATGACACAGACAGAGCAGTGCTGCCAATCCGTGTTTGTTGGAGGAAAGGGAGGAGTGTGTGTTGCCTGCTCTATGCACAGTTCTGTTCTGCTTTAACTGTCACTTAAAACCTTTTGTCAAAATCGACCTCTCAGAGCAGAAATATTTCTGCTAAAGGATAGGGGCTTGTCCCAGTGTAACTGGAATTGGAGGGAAATAACCTATTTCAGTGTAGAAGTACAGCTATAATGACAGGTGTTGATATGGCTATTACTGCTTCTAACCAAGCTGGTTTCAAAACCATCCCAGAACAGTAACTGGACCAGTTGTTACTAATGAGAAATGGTCAGCAGTTGGGCCTGACCAGAAAAATTCAAAGAAAGGATCAAGAAGGTCCAGTACTGAGTTAAATTCCCATGAATTCTCTTATCAGCCTACTCTGTTTCCCCTTTCTGCAGAAGAATTTACACATTTAAGGCAATGTGGTTTTGGTGTTTGTTTCTTTTTTAAAAACCTCTGAACCAGGTGCTGATGTAAACTTCAACTTTGCAAGTTCTTTCTGAGATTAGGCAATGAGCCTGTGAGTTTATAACAGCACAGGGTTCTCCCCTGCTTCTCTGTACTGGTTAAATACATGCAATGAGAGAATGTATTTTGTTATCTTCTAGCACACATGCAATTTACTTGACTTTGAAATTCCATGTTAACTGCTTGGTGCCTGACTTTGGATACATACAAAGCAACTGTTCCAAAACTGGTAACAGCTGGATTTACTCAGCCTGGTAACAGATGAAACATTAAAAAAATTATTTGTCAGCCATGATTTATGTTTGGAAAGTATTATATAGGTTTTTTATTTTATATTATGGCTGCCTGATACATTTTACAGTATCTTTATGTATGTATATTGTGTGTGTATATAAAAAAACAGGTCTGTATTAGGTCTAATTAACTCATTCTTACAATTATAGGGAATAAGTCAACATAGCTGTTCACATATGGATGCAGACTTTGGAACCAAGATAAGGAATCTCTGTACAACCATGGTCTTTAATTTGTATTAAGATATATGCTAGAGGAAGAAAATCCCTGTGGTATCCTTATGCATACATAAGGTGTACATGTATATGACTCCTGTAGGGGAAAGTAACTATTCCCAAGTTAGCAGCCTGGTGTAGGTGGCACAGACAGCACACAGGTATTTCTGTAGCTGCAGGAGTCCTGCACGGTGCCCAGTGAAGAAAGAGGTGTTTCCTCTGAAGTTGGTGAAACATTATGAAACATTAATGGAGGCGGTGAATCATTATAGTAAAACCTATAAAAAAGTGTTTCCTTGCTGTTCCTCAGTGAAATGACTCTGCCCTGTGTATCCTTTTATGCATTAAACTGCAAATTACATTGCAGCCGCCTGTTGCCCAGGTGCCATTTCATGGCCTGGGGCAGGGGGGTTTGGTCCCCAGCGTGGGCTGCAGGGGGAGGGTTTCACTAGTGGGGGATAACTGAAAATAATCAGATTTGTTAGGGTTGGGAGGGATTTCTGGAGATGATCCAGCCCAACTGCCCTGCCGGGGCCGGGACAGCTGGAGCAGGTTATCCCGGAACGCCTTCAGGTGGGTCTGGGATGTCTCCAGAGAGGGAGACTCCACGCCCCTCCCTGGGCAGCATTCCAGTGCTCAGCCACCCTCAACGTAAAGAACCTTTTCCTCATGCTGAGGTGAAATTCCTTGTGCTTTGGTTTACATGCGCTGCTCCTCACCCTGTCACCGCCAAGAGTTTGGCACCATCCCTTTGATACCCCCCGCTCCTTTGCGTCTTTTGGCTAAGCAGCCCCAGTTCCCGCAGTGTCTCGTATAAAAGAGAGACGCTCCGGACCTTTCACCATCTCTGCGGCCTTTGCCGGCCGCTCTCCGGTGCCGGAGCCAGCCGGGAGGTGCCGGAGCTCCCCGCGGTCCCTCCCGGGCCCTCCCCGCCCATGGCGGCCGCTCCGCCCTCAGGCCCGCGGCGTTGCACGGCAGCGCCCCCTGGCGGCGGCTCTGAGCGGCGCGGCCGCCCGCAGCCCGGCATGGAGGAGGACGAGGCGGGCGCGGAACCGCGGGGCTGCCACCGCCGCTCGCCCAGCCCCGGCCGCCTGGATGTGAGTTCCAGCCGCTTCGACCCGCTGCTGGCGCTCTACTCGCCGCGCACGCCGCTGCCCTTCCCCGCAGCGCCCTGCTTCAACAACCTCGCCGAGTACGAGAGCTTCCAGCGCGGCCTGCGCCGCCCGCCCGGTCGCCGCGCCGCCCCCGCCGCCCGCCGCGGTGCCCCCGCCGCCCGCGCGTCCCGCCGGGGCCGGCCCGCCGCCGACCCCGAGCGCATCCAGCGCCTCCGCAGCCTCATGGTCAACGCGGGCCCCGAGCAGGAGGGGGCTGAAGGCGGAACGGCCACGCGGCGGCGGCGGGCACCGCGCAATGTCCTCACCAGGATGCCCCGTAAGGGCGCGGGCGCAGCGGGCCGGGGCTGAGGGGAGGCGGAGGGTGTGAGGGGCCGGGGCCGTGCTCAGGTGGAGCTGGGCGCGGTGGAGTTGCGGCGGAGTTTGGGGGTGAGGAACGAGCGATGGCTGGCGGAAGCGGTTGGGTGACAATGGGGTGTGGGGGAATTTAGTTTGTGGTCTGTGGGAATGATTTAGTTTGATGGGAAATGACTCTTGGGTGCAGAGGCCCTGGCACAGGGTGTCCAGAGAAGCTGTGGCTGCCCCGTCCCTGGCAGTGTCCAAGGCCAGGTTGGATGGGGCTTGGAGCAGCCTGGTGTAGTGGAAGGTGTCCCTGCCCATGGCAGGGGGATTGGTACGAGATGGGTTTTCGGGTTCCTCCCAACCCAAACCATTCCGTGATTCTCTGAAATGGTGTGCAGGAATGAGGAACAGCATTTCACAGAGCTGCTCACGCAGGGATGACACTGAGTTCATTGTGGTGGTGTTCTGGTGTATGAATGACATACATCCTCTTGGTTTTAAGGAGAAAAGGGATGAGATACTGCTCTATTCTCAAAAGTGCTATTTTAAATCAGGACTGATAATTGGGTCAGTCCAGAGTGTAGTTAAACCATAACCACAGGGTAAGTCTGTAATACACTACTGTTATTTGGTTGCTAACCAAACATCCTGCAGGCGGAAATATTGGCATTTCTGATAACAGGATGGCAGAACAGTGGATTGAGGTGTGAGACAGCTGTGATGTAAATTCATCAGCTGTGATGATGATATATATGTATTTCTTGTAAAAATGTTTTGTGTGCAGTTAAGAATCAAATGGCATTGCTGTCAGGTGAAATATAACTTTAGTGCGCTTCATTAAAAATACTGGGGTTCATTTTGGAAACAAATTATCTTTTCACCATCACCTTTTTTTTTTTTTTTTTTTTTTTTCTAAAAAAGGCAAAGCCCAGAATTTTCAATTCTGAATAACCAAGACAAAACCCTTTTCTTTCTTGGACACTAAAGCACAATGTGTTCATTGCTATAGATGCTGCATGATCTGAAGTATCACGCTTAGTGTTCTGCACAAATGCAGAGGTTCTGTTGGCACAGGATTTTCAGAAAGCCGACCTTAAATATTGATTTCGGATCTTAATAAAAATTATCTCAGTTTGCACTGATGATGAAAATTGAGGGGGAAAAACCTGTAGGAATTAAGAACCATTAGGAACACATACTTAATATCCACACATCCATGTCTGGACTACAAAGAAGACTGGCATAACTGATACAGGAAGTGCTGTTCAGCAGCCTGGAGTGTTCTAAAAGTCATTTATAGCCAAAATTTTGTACTTTCCGTGTAACTGGAGGGATGTCTGCACCACAGGTGTTTGGAATTTGGGCTGTGTTGGATCAGTTCAGGAGGAGCTATTTATCATTGCATTCAGCAAGGAGCAGAGAATTCATGTGCAGGGCAAGTAGACAGAAGTTTGACCATGTTCTGAGTTATTTCAGCTTTTCTCTTGAGGTTTTTCTAATCTTGTCTCTTAAGAGAGTCTGCCCTGAGGACAGGACTTGAATATAACCAGAGTTTAGATCTTTATTTTCACCTTTTTTGGATGCTTGTGCTTAGCTTACAGTAGTTTCTTAGTAGTTTTTCAGAGTTCTGGTACTAAGCACGTGCTAATTTTATACAGGTAGGAGTTGGATTTTGAGTACCAAAAGGTAACTTTTTTTCCTATCTTTTGAAACATTGTTCATGCTGGTCCTTAACAACACAGAAGGCACAGACAGATTTAGTCGTGTGCTGAGCCTGCTCATTACAGCCCTTGGGGCTTGCAGAGGAGGTGTGTTCCAAAAATAAATGCCTTGCATTGCTGGTTTTATTTTTTCTGAGAATGTCAGGTTGTTGAAGGGTTTTTGGATGATGTGTTCTGCCCTTTTGCTCAGATGAAGCTGGAGGTTTGCTGTGGAGGAGCCAGAAGCTTACACAGCAAGGAAAAGAGGGCAGAGTGTGGGTTTGGTAAAGCTTTGTAGTGTTTTCCTGGGTGCTTAGAGGCAGAGGCATATTTAGAAATAAGGGTTGAATGTAGAATTCTGTAAAATTCTAGATAGAGTTCCTACTTAAAGGGAATATTGAAGCTTAAAATCTATAAATAGGTCTGGATTTTAAATTACTATGTAAGTTCTCAGGGTTGGTTAGAAAAAATACTATTTTCTGATTGGAAGCATCAATTTGATATTGTGATGGTGTCATCTGTGGTTCCTATGATGGATCTGTCAATCCAGAGCATAAGTTTGTTTTCAGTTCAGCTGAAGGAGACACAGAGACTCATGAAAAGACCCCCTAAGCAAGGCTGGGAGGTGCTGAGACAGCTTATGCTCTGTGTGAAACCAATTTCCTGCGGTTATCCAGCTGGAGAGGGCTGGCAAGAAGACAATGGATCTCAAAAAATAAATGTGATTAGGTTAATTCAGAGGAAAGTGATGTAGATATCCCTGCTGTGGCCATCAATTACTCTGCAGCCCAGTTCTGCAGATCAGCTGTTTTTTCACACAGTCACTTTACACTCACAGGAAACATTTTCTGGTGTGCAAATCAAACCTTGAATGCACAGTCCCTAAAGCACAAGGTGAGAGATCATCTGTGGCTCATATATTTTATTAATGTGGAGAACTGTGTGAAATTTCAGACCAAGTCTTTTCCCTGACTCTTAGCAGGAATTGTTCAGCAGTCCCGGGGCTGTGTTTGCACAAGCAAAGGGGTACCAAGGCCTGGGTGGAAGTTGTAAATAATATCTACCCCTCTGGATAAGTTACACTTGCAAAGATTTCTGGTGTGCAGACAAGGCTTGTGTGAGCCAAGCAAGCTGTACTTTTTTACTGAATTCCTCCACTTTTGCCCTGGTTAAAGCATTATTGCCCTGGGGTTTAGCATGGTTTAATCGCTGGCCGCTTCTTAGAGTGATTTTTTATTTCCTTACCAAAGACTTGTACGGCTTTGAAGGATGTTCAGCTGGCTGCTGAAATCTTAACTGGAACAATGCATTTTCATCAGTTTAAACTGGTCCAGTTTAGTAAGTTGAAGGATTTTGAGTCATTCATTGTTTCAGAAATCCCCTTGTAAAGAAGAGGAACAAATCTGCTACAATTCTTTATTTGCAGCTCGTAACTAATCTGAGGTAGCCTTAACCAGGCATTTGTCTTTTCTGTGAAACTAACTCTGCCCCCATGAGCTTTCTGTTCCCTCTCAACCACTTTTATTTACAGTTGGGATTACTTGGCATGTTTTTGAAATGTAGCAAAAAGATTTTCAGCTAAGGCTGATTTGGCTGTGGGCTATGTAAAGCAAAACCTTCGTATTTTCTGAAGTCTTTGGTCTCCCCATTGTAAGAAGAGTTTTGGTGGTCTGGTAATGGCAACCACAGTGTGCTACAGTCCTTGGGGCTTCTTCATTGCTATTGTTGTGAACACAAGTGTTGTGCCAAGCTCTGCCATACTTGTACATAGAGTGGATTTCTACATGGTTTTTAGATGCATAGATACTGAAGGGAGAGTTTTTATAGGAATATGTCATGACAGAGAAAAGCAGGAATGGCTTCAAACTGAAAAAAAAGTAGGTTTAGATTAGATATTGGAGAGAAATTTGGCTGTGAAGATGGTGAGGCCCTGGCACAAGTTGCCCAGAGAAGTTGTGGTTGCCCCAGCCCTGGAAGTGTTCAAGGCCAGGCTGGATGGGGATCTGAGCAACCTTGGTTGCTCAGAAGTGGAAGCTGTCCCTGCCTGTGGCAGGGAGTTGAAAGATAATCTTTCATCAACCTTTCCTCTTAACTCAGGCCATTCTATGATTCTCTTCTATGATTCTGTGTATTTTGGTGAAGACTGGTGATGTTCTCTTTCTGTTCTAGTCCATGAAGGCAGCCCACTGGGGGAGCTCCATCGCTGTGTCCGAGATGGTATCAGAATTAATGTCCACATCCGCACTTTCAAAGGGCTTCGTGGAGTCTGCACAGGCTTCTTGGTTGCATTTGACAAATTCTGGAATATGGTAATTATTGTTCCAGCCCTTCATTTGTAACTGTTACATTGAAAACTTGAAATTTGCAACAGGTTTAAGCAAATTACGTATGGGGAAGATTAATGTGATTTTTTTAGCAAAGTAATTTGCTCTGGTACCAAGTGCTGAGTTTTGGACTTAAGCGGTACTTGGTGTTGGACTGGTACATCTGGGAGGTGCCCAACCATCTTAGAGAGATTTTAGGTGAGAGAGAATCTTTGAAGTGTTCCCTACATCTTCAGAGGTTTTGTATGAGAACACAGGAAGGTGGAATATGAGGAATATCAGAAGCTTCCAGAGCTTTCTCTGCAAAACCCAGTCCTTCTATAATGGTGGGTGCTTCTGTTTTCTCTCACTAAAATCACTGAGCTGCCAGTGACAAAAGGTTTTCCCTGTTTTCTACCTTGTGAAGATCTTAAAGACAGTAGATGGAAAAGCAGCTATTAAACATTTGTGAACCGGGAGGCGAGAAAAGTTTGGAAGTGGGGAGGAGGGAAGAATTTTGCAGGCAAGGATCACAGGGATTTTGGAAGTAATGCAGAATGAACTTTGCTGCTTTTATACTTCAGTACAATTTAGATGATTAACAAACCAGCTCCAAAGCACGGCTTGTTCCTAGGATGGATTTTCTCTCAGAACATAATTTCATAATGCTTTGACACAAACCTGGTCCAAAGCTGCTTCATATTTTATTTTAATTTCAATCTTTCCATTTCTTTTATCTTTTTTAGGCCCTGACAGATGTGGATGAGACTTACAGGAAGCCAGTAATGGGCAAAGCCTTCTATGCAGAACCTCAGCTCTCACTGACCCGAGTAGGTGACATCTCCTGTTTTTTTAATTATTAGGATCTCCTTTTTCAAAGTAATAAAAGGGGATTGATTTTGAGCCCATGCTTACATTTTAAATATTTTACTTCCTTTTATTACAGATGACTCTAAAATAACTTGAATCGAGCAAGAAAATACATAAAATGTTTTCTGATCTTTCTGAAAGTACTTTAGTAGTTCAATGTTACTAAAGCTCCACTTTAGAATCAGATCAGAGCTGCTGCCACTGCTTAATGTAACGTGCTGAGCTTCTAGAAGGTCACTCAGTGGGTTCTGATGTGGGATTTGTTCTGTGTGGTTTTTTGCACCTGTGCCTAATCAGGTCCATATTTGTCTGGCCAGGGAATGTGGCAGGGCATTCCTCTGGTACTGAAATTCCTCATGGCACAGTCTATGTCTGCAGCCAGAGAAACAACAGAGCTCTGAACACTTGAGCTTCCAGTCTGGGTACTGTGAAGCCAAAACTCTCCAATCTCTAGGATCCAGTTGCAAATAGAGTTGTTTACCACGTTGACAACTGAAGAGATGATAGATGAACTTCTGAACAATGAAGGGGAAAAAATGTGACAGGGCAGTGCCCATTGAATGGCAACAGCTCTGGGCCTTTTGAACATCAGAGAAGCATCACAAAAAACATTTAAACTGTTTCATTGTGAGGAATTTGCTTTCAAATTCCTGCCATTTAAATCTGTTTTCTCATAGATCCCACCCTTCCTTTTTTTAAAAGATTAGTTAAAAATAATAAAGTTGTCATTGTTCCTTCAGCTCACTCTCACAGGCACTGGCTTTCCATCCTGTTGCTGGGAAGAGAGAGGCTAACCAAAAATCTCATTTGTCATTATTTCATAAAAGCTTGTCTGCTGCCAGAGTAAAAGCAATTTCTTTTCCAGTTTCAGCACCATGTATTCTTAGATTAATGAGTTCATACAGTGCTTTGGGTCTGCTGCTGTAGCTTTTATAATTTTTCTGTTGTGGTCTGCTCACCTCCCAGAATACCCACACGTCATCTTTTAGTTTGTTTTGGGGAACACAAAAGATCCCTCAGTTTTCCAGTGTGCAGACTTTGCTAATGGAGGCCCCTTATCTTAGGGGTTCATGATACAAGGATGGAAATCTCTCTAAAACTGTCTGACAACATTAAAAGAACATGGGGAAAAGTGACCTGTAGGAGCAACTTGGTATTTCTGTTTCTCCTGACCAAAGTTAAAGGCTACCACACAGCAGTGTTGCTCCTGAAGTTAAATTCCTTGGTGCTCACATTAAGACAGTCATGACCATGCAAGAAACTCATTCACCTTCTGTCATGGATTGACTTTGGTAAGCAGACATGATCTTTATTGCTAGTGGAGATTTGTTACTGTGTCTTGTGAGCTGATTTGGGATGGTACATGAAAATGCCACGTAGAAGTGTGGAACAAGTGGCCTCTCGTTTTACAAGGGTGATCATAGATACAACTGTCCTTTTACAGCTGTTTGACAGACTCAAACTGCAGGAATCCTCGGGGAAGAAGGGAGCTGACTCAAAGACTGTCTCAGAGGAGCTGGCCCTGACAAATGACTCTCAGATGCTGAGTTTGAAAGCTGGATCTGGACGAGGGAGAGCAGAAGAGGAGCGTGAGAGGCACAAACACATGGGCAGAGCTGGAGAGAAGAAGACCCCAGGTGACAGAAGTGAAGCTGATGTGGGCAGCAGGACTGCCCACGCAGAGGGGGCCAGTGCTGGTGGGGCCCGAGCCAGGAGCCAGTCCCAGAGGAGAAGGCGGCCCAAGGTGGATTATCAGCAGGTGTTCACACGCCACATCAACCAGATCTTTATTCGAGGAGAGAATGTCTTGCTTGTCCATTTAGCACATTGACTTGGCTGAGCCTTTGTCAGCATATTTATTTGATAGCATGACTTACTGCTGCAGCTCCCATTGCTATTTAGAGTTGTCATTGAGTAGGATGGTACCGTGGCTGGTTTCTCATTGCCACCACAAAGTAGAGGAAGGAATTGTAACTTGAGCATCCTGGGCTTGATGCCAAAGCAGCCCCCTTAGATCCCTGCTGGGGGTCTCAGGAGAAGGTCAGCAACACAATTGCTGTGATATGAGGGAGTTAAGCACAGATCCCACTGTTTCTTAAAAGGAAGCTAAATGTAGAGGGTTGTAAGAGAATTTTGGTGTACTCTTACAGGAGCTACATGTGGCACACATTTAAGGATAAGATAAATAGGACCTGCAATAAATCAGAAATGCTCTTTTGCACATTCTGAGTAATATCAATAGGAAATTGCTAATGAAATCAACAGTTTATATGCTGCTTTTCATGGATATCCTCTTTTCCAGACATAATTCTGACAGTCATTTTTAAATAGTTTATAAAACATTGGAATCACATCCTGCTGATGGCTACTGGCCTCTTTGCCATAGCTCTGTAATGCCCTGTGTGATAGGAAACTTCTTAGTTGTAAACTGCTCTTTTAATGGGTGATGGTAAGACTGTAACTTGTTTCCAGTATCAGAGCTTAGGCTCTCTTTGTAATGCTGTGCTTTGGCCCTGTGTCACCAGCAAGCAGATGATGTAGCTGATCCAGAGACCTCCCTTGTTTGGAGTTTATCTGTGGGTGAAGATGGAAAACTATCCTTTTATATTTCACCCACTTGCTACTTAGTGTAACAGTGAAGCTGACGAGGATTGGGTTTTTCTCAGGTGTGTTTGTGCTCAGCACACTTGTCCTGTATTTAAACACCTTTCAGGCTCCTCTACTGAAACCAGAGCTGCCGTGTCTCCAGCAGTTCTCATGGAGCAGGAATCTTCATGAGTCTTTCCTGTCCATGTGAAGGATGCATCATCTAATTCCAGCTGACCTTTGGAGATGTACCTGAAAAAATTTTGAAGTATAGAAGTCAACTCATCAGTGTTTCATTTTAGCAAGGCTGTTGAATTATTGTCGGTCAGGCCAGGGTTCTGCAGGTATAAACTGCTTTCCAAAATACCTACCTGCAGAAGTTTGAGGGTAAATGAAGCTGTTCCATTATGTGGCTTGTTCCCTTTGTTGTCAAAGGAGATTTCATGCTGCTATTCTGTATTCATCTCAACTGCCTTGTGCTTTGCAGCAGCTCTGTGTGTTTAAGCTGAAGTTGGGAAATTGCTTTATAACAGGACTTATATTGCATATAGATGCCTTGACTTCTCAAATTGAGTGGTTGTACTATGGGTGACGTGAATTTCTGTTGCTGCAGATGCAGCATTCTGCTTGCTTGGTCGTTAGAGATATGTGTGGTGTTTGGGTGAATCACAGAAATCATTTAGCAGGCATTCTGGACACACAAGGCAGCTGTTTGCCTCTGGGGGAACTTGAAACTTATGTCAACATTTCACATGACATGGGGCTTGATGAGCTCAGCCACTGAGCTCAAAGCCAAGTTCAGCCTGGGATAGAATAAGAAGTACTGTTGAGGCAAAATAGTTTTATCAAGGGTAAAAATGAAATAAAAAAAAATTAAATATTCTCTACAGCTTCTTCTGAAACATTGCTTTACTGCTGTAATCCCAACCCTCTGTGAACAGAGACTAGGCACTAAAAAGATTCTTGTCATGGAGGTTATTGTTTCCCCTCCCTTCTTTACTCTTTGTGTTCATTTCTGCTCTGCAATTCTTCTTTTTCTTTTTTCCCCTTCCCTTTCTCCTGTCAGTACTTTGTGTCCTCAGGACATTCTAAACTCTGGTTTACAAAGACTGTTCTTGTTATCCTGGCTTCTGCACCCTTTCCTGGTTGGTTTTCAATGTACTAACCAGAACCCTCACAAATTACTAGGAACATGTGAAGTTCGAAACAAGGTGCTGATCTCTGCTCATGACTTCCCAGCAGCTTTTATTGCAAGTGAATATTTGAATATTCCTTATGTTTGGGTTCTGACACCTTTGTTTTTATTTCAGCTGCTTGGGATGACTCCTCTTTGTCTTTTCTATTAGTACCAAAGGCCACTGGTTTGGACCTCACCTTTTACCTTCATATTTGACCAACGGGTGTCAGATCACCCTCAGACTGATATACAGTGACAGCTCATTGAATTCTTTCTTTTCTTCACCTCATATTCTTACTTCTCTTTGTCTGCCTAGTTCATGCCTTGTGCATTAACTAAGATACAACTACTATGAATGTTTTTGTGGCTGTGATGCCCTTCCTTGTCGATTGACCCTTCCCCAAGTTCTCAGTTGCTGCTGGAAGTCTCAGTGTTTCCTTTCCTAACAGGCTTTTCCCTGCAACGTTATAGATGTTTGTTGCTTCACATTAGGAGTTTCTTTGTTTACATTTTATGAAAAATGCTGGTGCTTAGACTTAAGTTTGTGCCTTGATTTTTATATCATCCCTGACCAGTTCTTCCAGAATCATCACCTTGGTGAGCCAACCTGATTAAGGATTATAGTTAATCTACTTTTTTTGCACTACCTCATTGTTAAAATGTTCTTCCTCTCATCTGTGAAGCTGGTTAAACTGCTCTCTTCCAATTTAGATTTAATGAATTGTTGATTCTTCTTTTGTTTCCTACTTTTCTGTTCACCTTTCTCATTATTTCCAACCTGCTTCCTAAATACTGCTGCTTCCTCTTCTACAACTTCAGATCTTCCAAAATGTCTTCCTTTTCCCACTTTTTCTGGCATTGTATATTTTTAAAATGCATTATTAGATGCTATCTATGAATTTTGTCTCTTTCAAGCATCGTGATGGTGACGAAGCAAGTGATCCTGTAGGTGTGTTGTCATTTGCTTGTTCAATATTTCAAATAATGTTTCTCTTTAAATAAAACTGAATGTCATGTTCTGAAATGGATTCTTCTACCTCACTGAAGTGTTCTCTTAAATCTGTTAAAAAAAGAAAAAGAAAACAACCTTTGCAAACAAATGAACTTTGGTTTTCAGTGTTTTTTTTAAGTTGTTTCTGGTTATTTCTTTCTATGGTTTTCCAAACTCAACATAAAATTTTTTTCTTCAAAAAGATTTTTGCTCCCAGCCCTTCGTCTCTTGCTGCAGTGATGCTGTGAGCACAAGCACACCAAAGTCTTTGTGCTAAGAAATGAAGAGTAAGAAACAGAGAGCAACGTGAGAGTGAAAAAACTTTGGGCAGATATGAAAACCTTCCTTGAAAGGATCCACAGGTTGCCACCTGTCCTGTATTTCCAGGGCTCTGCTCAGCCTGGTGCTCAGCAGTGGTTCTTAAAGTGTGGTTGGGGTGAGGTTCCCAGTTACTGCAGGGAGCAGTTTTCTGCAATAACTTCGAAGAAGCATTGGGATAATTTGAGAAAGTTTTAAAATAATTTCTCATATCTGGGATTATTTCTTAGGAATGTTTTTGCACAGGTGCTTCATATTTATCAAACACTTCTTAGGCTGTGGTAGTAGAAAAGGTAAGGCCAAAGGGGGAAGGAAGCTTATCATAAAGTGTGAGTTTGGTTCCTTCTCTCAAATGACTTGTCCAGCTCGTTAATTGCTTGGAATGTTTTTTTCTGACCTAGAGTGAAGTACTTAGCATGTCCTCTGCAGGTGATTGCTGAATTAATCAGTGAGTGCTGTTTTCCATCTGCTTCTTTTCCTTTTGTGTTTGGATTCATTGTTTCTTTTGTGGCATTCCCTCAGCAGTGTCTCAGCAGGAACAGGCCTGAGTGCCCACTGGTTTTTACCTTTCCCTAAGTAATGTTACCCCATCCAGTTTTGAATCCAGAGAGGCTTTGGCTGATCTTGATTTTCATACTGTTCTCTTTAGACTTTTTTGAATTAATTGGTCCGAAGAATTCTTTATCTTGGATAATATTACTTTTTGGAGTAAACTGATCTCTTGAAACTTTTGAAAAATGATTTTGTTACTTATTTTCCTTCACTAAATGCTAGGTTTTCCTAGTTTGTTTTTACAGTGACTTGCTTGTACCTGTGAATCACTGGGTGAAGAGGTGTGCAGGATAAAAAGAGGCAGAAGAAAAAACGTGTCTAATTTTTATCGAATTTGACATTCTAGCCAACATTTTGCCCACACTCATCCTTTCTGTTTCTTACTTGCACTGACCTAAGTGAAACAGATGGAAATTATTTCATCCAGAATCTTGAAGGAAAATGGAGCAGGGACAGCAAAAAACACTGAGTTTATGAAAATGTTTATCTCCAGGTAAACGTCCTGTCTTTGATTAAACAGATCAGAGTTATAAGCACCAACTTACACTGCAGGCTCTGCCACTGGATAAAATTGGAAGGCACAGTCCTGCACCTTTTCAGAGGTGATGCAGTGATTCCCTCAGCCAGGACAGCTCTTGCCTGAGAAGCTGCTCAGGTATATGCCAGTGTCTGCCTCAGAGCATAACTTCAAATACTGCCAATTCTCTCCTGCCTGCACTGCCAAGTGTAAAATATGAATGCTGAGGTCTGCAGCATCTGCAGCCCAGAACTACTTCAGTTCATGCTTTCGCTTCTTGACATTGGCTTAAAAAAATTCAAGTTTGTACTAATAGCAATCCTAAGACAGTCTGTTAGAACATTGGGAAAGGCTGCTGCTGACTAGAAACTGTATTGGAAAAGTAAGTTTTTACAGAATTTGTGAAATTCTGATTGTAATTAAAGTATTATATACCAGGAAAGGCTGAGAGAGTTGGGATTGTTCAGCCTGGAGAAGAGAAGCTCTGTGGTGACCTAATTGCAGCCTTCAAGTACCTGAAGGGAGCTTACAAGAAGGATGGAGAGAGAATATTAGCAAGGGCCTGGAGTGCCAGGACAAGGGTGAATGGCTTCACACTGCCAGGGAGTGGTGTTAGAGGGGATATTAGTCAAAG